GAGGGATGGAGAAAGGAGGGATAGAGAGAGGAGGGATAGAGAAAGGAGGGATAGAGAGAGGAGGGATAGAGAAAGGAGGGATAGAGAGAGGAGGGATAGAGAAAGGAGGGATAGAGAGAGGAGGGATAGAGAGAGGAGGGATAGAGAGAGGAGGGATAGAGAAAGGAGGGATAGAGAAAGGAGGGATGGAGAAAGGAGGGATAGAGAGAGGAGGGATAGAGAAAGGAGGGATAGAGAGAGGAGGGATAGAGAAAGGAGGGATAGAGAGAGGAGGGATAGAGAGAGGAGGGATAGAGAGAGGAGGGATAGAGAGAGGAGGGATAGAGAAAGGAGGGATGAAGAAAGGAGGGATAGAGAGAGGAGGGATAGAGAGAGGAGGGATAGAGAAAGGAGGGATAGAGAGAGGAGGGATAGAGAAAGGAGGGATAGAGAGAGGAGGGATAGAGAAAGGAGGGATAGAGAGAGGAGGGATAGAGAGAGGAGGGATAGAGAGAGGAGGGATGGAGAAAGGAGGGATAGAGAAAGGAGGGATAGAGAGAGGAGGGATAGAGAGAGGAGGGATAGAGAGAGGAGGGATAGAGAGAGGAGGGATAGAGAAAGGAGGGATAGAGAGAGGAGGGATAGAGAAAGGAGGGATAGAGAGAGGAGGGATAGAGAAAGGAGGGATAGAGAGAGGAGGGATGGAGAAAGGAGGGATAGAGAGAGGAGGGATAGAGAAAGGAGGGATAGAGAAAGGAGGGAGAGAGAGAGGAGGGATAGAGAGAGGAGGGATAGAGAAAGGAGGGATAGAGAAAGGAGGGATGGAGAAAGGAGGGATAGAGAGAGGAGGGATAGAGAGAGGAGGGATAGAGAGAGGAGGGATAGAGAAAGGAGGGATGAAGAAAGGAGGGATAGAGAGAGGAGGGATAGAGAGAGGAGGGATAGAGAAAGGAGGGATAGAGAGAGGAGGGATAGAGAAAGGAGGGATAGAGAGAGGAGGGATGGAGAAAGGAGGGATAGAGAGAGGAGGGATAGAGAAAGGAGGGATAGAGAGAGGAGGGATAGAGAAAGGAGGGATAGAGAGAGGAGGGATAGAGAGAGGAAGGATAGAGAGAAGAGGGATAGAGAAAGGAGGGATGAAGAAAGGAGGGATAGAGAGAGGAGGGATGGAGAAAGGAGGGATAGAGAGAGGAGGGATAGAGAAAGGAGGGATAGAGAAAGGAGGGATAGAGAGAGGAGGGATAGAGAAAGGAGGGACGAAGAAAGGAGGGATAGAGAGAGGAGGGATAGAGAGCAGAGGGATAGAGAAAGGAGGGATAGAGAGAGGAGGGATAGAGAGAGGAGGGATAGAGAAAGGAGGGATAGAGAAAGGAGGGATAGAGAGAGGAGGGATGGAGAAAGGAGGGATAGAGAGAGGAGGGATAGAGAGAGGAGGGATAGAGAGAGGAGGGATAGAGAGAGGAGGGATAGAGAAAGGAGGGATGAAGAAAGGAGGGATAGAGAGAGGAGGGATAGAGAGAGGAGGGATAGAGAGAGGAGGGATAGAGAGAGGAGGGATGAAGAAAGGAGGGATAGAGAGAGGAGGGATAGAGAGAGGAGGGATAGAGAGAGGAGGGATAGAGAGAGGAGGGATGAAGAAAGGAGGGATAGAGAGAGGAGGGATAGAGAGAGGAGGGATAGAGAGAGGAGGGATAGAGAGAGGAGGGATGGAGAAGGGAGGGATAGAGAGAGGAGGGAGAGAGAGAGGAGGGATGGAGATAGGAGGGATGGAGAAAGGAGGGATAGAGAAAGGAGGGATAGAGAGAGGAGGGATAGAGAGAGGAGGGATAGAGAGAGGAGGGAGAGAGAGAGGAGGGATAGAGAGAGGAGGGATAGAGAGAGGAGGGATAGAGAGAGGAGGGATAGAGAGAGGAGGGATAGAGAGAGGAGGGATAGAGAAAGGAGGGATAGAGAGAGGAGGGATAGAGAGAGGAGGGATAGAGAGAGGAGGGAGAGAGAGAGGAGGGATAGAGAGAGGAGGGATAGAGAGAGGAGGGATGGAGAGAGGAGGGATAGAGAGAGGAGGGATAGAGAAAGGAGGGATAGAGAGAGGAGGGATAGAGAGAGGAGGGATAGAGAGAGGAGGGATAGAGAGAGGAGGGATAGAGAGAGGAGGGATAGAGAGAGGAGGGATAGAGAAAGGAGGGATGAAGAAAGGAGGGATAGAGAGAGGAGGGATAGAGAGAGGAGGGATAGAGAAAGGAGGGATGAAGAAAGGAGGGATAGAGAGAGGAGGGATGGAGAAAGGAGGGATAGAGAGAGGAGGGATAGAGAGAGGAGGGATAGAGAAAGGAGGGATAGAGAGAGGAGGGATAGAGAGAGGAGGGATAGAGAGAGGAGGGATAGAGAAAGGAGGGATGAAGAAAGGAGGGATAGAGAGAGGAGGGATAGAGAGAGGAGGGATAGAGAAAGGAGGGATGAAGAAAGGAGGGATAGAGAGAGGAGGGATGGAGAAAGGAGGGATAGAGAGAGGAGGGATAGA